TTATTGGTTGGGAGAGTTGGGGCTTGTCGCAGTGGGTCGACAGTATCGGGCGCTGAGCAATTGCAGTGGTTGTTGTTGTGGTTGTTGTCGTTGTTGTGGTCGAAGACACAGTTTTGAGCGAGGGCATTGTACTAGTTGTTGTCGATATTAGCAAATCGCTGGTTAGGCAGTACGAGTCGGGGGATGGGCACTGAGCACTCCATGACCCACTTTCCAATGCAGGGGAGAGAGAGCGTGCTCTCTCCTCGTTCACTTGCAGTGATGCAGTTTTTGTTGGTACTGCTGCCTTTGGCGAGCGTATAGAGAAGTACGCGTTGTTTTTTGCTTGCGAGAGCCGACGCTCGTCTTGTTGTTGTTGCCGGGCTTGGCTCATTTTGGCTTTGGTTACAGTGCTTGTGCTCTTTACCGAGCTGGTGCTCTTAAACGTTGACATTTGTTCTTTTCTATTATTTCTATTAGTCTTTATTACTCGATTGGATGGTATTCATGGGCAGCACGATCACTAGTACCCATGCCTACCCCGAGCGCTTTTTCGCGAATTTAATTTATGATTAATCGCGATTAATTTATTTAATTGATTTTCACCGCGGAGCGATACAAAAATACGTCTGTAGTCGTTGACGGTTGACGCTGCAGTTAATATTGTTAATGAACAAATTATTAATAATAAATAAGAAATTATGGAGTAGTAGTAATGGAATGGTCATTACATATAGAGAAAATATTACAGTACAAGGAGGATTTTGAGAAATCATATAAATTTCTCAATAAGACGACATATATCTCAAACACAACAATAAATAAGCATTCATTTATTTTGGTAGAAACTTTAAACAATATAAATCAATTAATCCATGTAGGAGAACCCATATATGACAATTAACAAAAACATGAAATAGTAGACATTTATAAGCGTATTTTGAACAAACTTAAAAGTTTAATAGATAAACACTCATTAAATATAACAGTCTCGAACTTCATTAACAAGCCCATCATTTTCATTATGCTAGAAGAAGAACCAATTCAAGAACTTCAGACAAAACACCAGAACTCTAATACAATGGCGCAGTCAGTGGTAGAATTTTTAAACACTGCCTGTAAATTAATTGCGGAATTTGACGGAAAGGCAGAAAATTTGCAAAGTTTCTTAGATGCTTTTACACTAGTCGACTCCATTAAAGGAGTACACGACATTCAAGCCGTCGCCATTGTAAAAACAAAGCTAAAGGGAACAGCCCGTAACTTCGTTGGCAATGAAACTACCCTTCAACAAATTATCAGTCTGTAGAAGTACTCTCTGCCAAATTAATGAATTTAAAACAAAAAACGAAAACAGCAAATGACTACACAAAAGAACTAGAGTCCCTTACAAAATTGCTTGAAACGGCTAATATATCAGATGGCCTTTCTTTTGAATTAGCAACCAAATATTCTACGCAACAGGCTGTTAAATCTATAACTAATAACTGCTCCATCGATACAGTTAAACTCATCATGGACTCGGGTTCATTTAATACTATGGACGACGCAGTTTCCAAATTTATAAATGCCTGCACCCAACACACAGGGCATAAAGACATCATATTGTTTTATCAAGGGAAATATGGAAACCGCCCTTTTAACAATTATCGGGGACGTGGGCGTGGTAATTTTTATAATAGAAGAAATAGTTACAGAGGAAATTATTACAATAACCAGAAAATAACCAGTAGCATTCGTACTATAGATACTGAAGCATCACAAAACCCAAATGCTCCACCAAAAAACCAGCAATAAAGAAAAATTCGATGTCGATATATACGTTTAATCTCCACCTTAGCAGCTAAATAACAACAAAAATAACTTTAAATAATAGCAAAAGTACATTTTTAGTGGATACAGGTGGCGACATCTCGGTGTTTAAAATAAATGAAATCAATTCTAATATCAAAACAGACCCTTCACAGACAACCAACCTTAACGGTATTGGCAATGGAACTATTACCACATTAGGTACGGTAGATGCTGATTTAATTTGGGAAAATTTGTTAATAGAACACACATTTCACATAGTACCCTGTAAATTGTACAGGGATTTTAAGGCAGGACTTCATAAAAAAATACAATTGTCTTTTAGACTATCGCCCCAATCAAGATTGGATTATTCTCAGGCCAGTAGACTATTTTCAGAATATCGCCATTCCAATGTATAGTACCTCCTATTTCAGGCTGAGGTAAGCATCAGTCCTACAGATCCGCTACAAGAAAATTTGTAGATTGTAGGTGACTTCAGGTGTCGGGCTGGCTTGTAGAAGAATGTAGTAGGCAGCGAGAAATGATGAGGCGACGGTTTTGTTGGATTGGAGAAATCGTGGTTGGTTGTTTTTGTTGGTGTTCTTTGCGTTGTTCTTTTATTATTTAATTCTTGTTTGTTTACAATGACTTAACTCGCGGATCTAGTTACTTGGCCTTGGAGCCGGTGGACTGGGTTGTGCAGTGTCTTGTGTTTGGGCTGAGGGACTGCCTAGTGCAGTGTCTTGGGTGTGTGGGTGAGGGACTGCGTAGTACAGTGTCTTGGGTGTGTGACTGAGGGACTGCCTTGTGCAGTGTCTTGGGTGTGTGACTGAGGGACTGCGTAGTACAGTGTCTTGGGTGTGTGACTGAGGGACTGCCTTGTGCAGTGTCTTGGGTGTGTGACTGAGGGACTGCGTAGTACAGTGTCTTGGGTGTGTGACTGAGGGACTGCCTTGTGCAGTGTCTTGTGTTTGGGCTGATGGACTGCCTGTATCTTGTATTCGGGCTGATGGACTGCCTAGTGCAGTGTCTTGTGTTCGGGCTGATGGACTGCCTACTCTTTCGGCCGATCTTGGCCCTTTTATGCAGCTGGCGATCGCACCTGAGACCCGGAAATAATTAATTCTTGCTGACTTAAGGTTATTGGGTAATAATAATTGTAGGGTGTGGTAACTAAGCCGAAGCTTGGTGCTTCGTTGACAATTTTTAGTGAGTCAGGGTGGTTTTGCTGATGCTGCATCCCGGAAGGTGCAGTTATGAATTGGGTATTTGGTTTCAAAAGAAATGAGAAATGAACCATGGTTCTAGCCATGGCTCGTCACAAACGGCGAAGGGTCAGCGCATCCACGCTGGCGGGAGACAATAACCAAAATGATATACACCGAGCTAACGAACCATGGCTCTAGCCACGGTTCTTCACAAATAGCGGTGTGTCAGCACCCCGGAAATAAAATAGTCTTAAGCACACAATTAATTAAGAACTCTCGATCAACAACACCCCACCTCTTGAGACAATTATGAAATCAGCAGCCTACAATGTCGCAATAAGCCAAGCCGACACAATTTCGCAATAAGAGATATCATCGGCGTTATTTCACAATAAGTCAAGCTAGCATAATAGTATCGAAACATCGACCCAAATTCAGATATCACCTCCGCGATGCAGAGTTAGCAAAAACTCATTTCTTTTGAAACCAAATACCCAATTCCCAACTGCACCTTCCGGGATGCAGCATCAGCAAAACCACCCTGACTCACTAAAAATTGTCAACGAAGCACCAAGCTTCGGCCTAGTTACCACACCCTACAATTATTATTACCCAATAACCTTAAGTCAGCAAGAATTAATTATTTCCGGGTCTCAGGTGCGATCGCCAGCTGCATAAAAGGGCCAAGATCGGCCGAAAGAGTAGGCAGTCCATCAGCCCGAACACAAGACACTGCACTAGGCAGTCCATCAGCCCGAATACAAGATACAGGCAGTCCATCAGCCCAAACACAAGACACTGCACAAGGCAGTCCCTCAGTCACACACCCAAGACACTGTACTACGCAGTCCCTCAGTCACACACCCAAGACACTGCACAAGGCAGTCCCTCAGTCACACACCCAAGACACTGTACTACGCAGTCCCTCAGTCACACACCCAAGACACTAGAGACACACCGGTAGTGTCAAATAGTGCGGACGTGTTTTTTCCTGTGCTCCCGCGCGGACGGCAAACTAGCCGATATGCCTGCAGGGAAAAGAAGTCGCTTAGTGTATGAGCCAATACTCATGCCCGGTACATACCAAGGAGGCTACCCCAGCATGGAAAGCGGCGCTTGTTCCCCTATAACTACGCAGCTATAGATGCAACCCAGGTCGAAGACCGGGGGCGAGGGGTGAGATGTGTCTCTCTATGTCTCTGTGTCTCTCGTTCCACTTGACTCTCTTTCTTGTTGTAATTACTTGTCATCCTGTATTTGTCTGTGCCGTTTTGTCCTCGTTGCAATTTTTACTCGTCATGCCAGCTGTTCGATAAGACAGCTGATGATCTGACCTGTGCTGTGCAACGACAAACACTGCAAGCTGCTGCAGTAAAGCTCCGGTAGTGGGCGCAACGGACGATCGGTGAAACTCTGCGCGGCGGAAAAACGTCGGTAGATGGCGCACGCGACTGTCTGGCGGAACTGGCTAGATCCTACCCTCCAACAGATGGCGCTAGTACAGCGCAAAAAGACCTTGCAATTTAAAAGGCAAAGGGATAGGGTGCCAATGGTATTGGAGCATACCAAAGTGTACCCCTCCACCCAGACGTGACACCCCCATCAGTAGGGGTAAACACAGCGAGCCGCTGCTAGTCGCAAGAGGCGACAGAAACGGCATCAAGGCCAAGACCAGTACAGCCTTGATTAGGACACTGGAACACATATCGGAAATCGACGAAACGGGCTGACAGAGGCAGCATTCTGTCACATTAGTAAGCAGAGTGAACTCCTGCTGAAACGGCTGACAGGCTAATGCTGCGGCTGCCTCCGTCCCACTAAAATCTTGGCAGATCTCCAAGAACGCTCCATGGCGCGTCCCCATTCAGTTGGGTGTGTAGGCACAGATGTCCTTTACCTGTCTGACGCGGATCCGGCTCTGTATTCGTATCCCCATAAAGGTGCGTTTCAACCCTAGCATGGCCTCCCTGCATGCACAGATAACCATGGGATCATAAACAACGCGACTACACTACGACCATGGACAACGACTTGGAGTTGGGACCCAATAATATGAGCGTAAATAATACCCCCCCCCAGGCGTGTGAGAGCGCCTATCATCTCTCACAGGAGGAGGAGGCTGCCTTTACAAAAAGCAGCAGACTGGCGAGGTCCCCAATAAGTGTGGCGGTCCAGGCGACGGCCGCGGAAACAACACAAAAGGAGGGATCACGATCTGCATTCCGAGAGCTTGGAGAGGAGATCGCTATCTTGGTCGGCTTTATAGAGGACGGAAAGCGAAGGTCCATCCACCAGCCAATGCGAGACTCGATAGAGAGCATTCGGGCCCTGTACGAGCTAGTGGCCATCCAGGTGCATGACAACAAGGCAAAGGAGCTGATTAGGTCGCACCAGTCATCGCAGACTTCGCCAATCTTCTCAGCGCCGCTGGAGGCGAAGAGAAGGCAGGGACCGGGCGCACCAACGCCCAAGCAAAAAAGGAGGAAGCAGCACGGGAATGAAAGCCCGCGCAATGGACCAATGGCGAGGAAAGAAGCCGAACCAACAAGCACGGGATCGCAGGTGACTCCCAGCGCATCTGGTGGTGAGAGCTGGACTATAGTGGCCAGGAAAGGACTGCAGAAAGCAGCGAAAAAAGCAGAAAGTCTTCGGCCGAAGGAAAATCCCGCGCGTATCGAGAGGACCAGGCCAGATGCTCTCCTTATCCAAACCAAAGGAGAGAAGACCTACGCTGAGATTTTAAGGACAATGAAGACGGACGAGAAGCTCAAGGCTCTAGGACAGGCCATAAACAGAGTGAGAAGAACCCAGAAGGGTGAACTCCTACTAGAGTTGACCAAATCGGGAGAGGGAACTGCCGAGTTCAAAACTATAGTCGCTGAAGCGCTGGGGGAGAGTGCCGAGGTCCGCTCACTGACGCAGCGGGTCTTCATCGAGTGCAAAGACCTCGAGGAGGACACCACAGCAGAAGATATCTGCAAGGCGCTAGCGGACCAGCTCCAACTGTCGGATGTAACAACAGCAGATGTCAGACTTAGGCGAGCATACGGGCAGACCCAAATAGCCAGCATTAGACTGTCGGCAGCCGGTGCCCAGAAGGCCTTGCACGCAGGAGCAGTAAGGGTTGGCTGGGTTAATGCGAGAATTCGCATGAGAACCTCCATAACGCGGTGTTTCAGATGCCTGGAGTTTGGGCACCAAGCGAGGAATTGCAAGTGCGAAACGGATCGCTCAAACCTCTGCAGGCGATGTGGACTGCCAGACCACTTGGCTAAGGGACTGCCAAAAGGAGCCGGTGTGTATGTTCTGCACTGGAAAGCATGAGGAAACAGGCCACATTGCTGGGAGCAGCAGGTGTCCCACTTTCCGGAGCGCTCTTGCAAACCAAACGCGATGAAGGTAACCCAAATTAACCTTAACCACTGTGAGGCTGCGCAGGACCTCCTTATGCAGTCGGTGCGAGAGAGGCGGGCGGACGTGGTCTTGATTAGCGAGCCATATAAGCCAGTACTTGGACCCGGGTGGGTGGTTAGTGCTAACCGTAAGGCAACCATCTGGTCGCGCACCCACGCGATCAAGGATGCCTGCTCTGCTAACGAAGGCTTTGCTAGAGCCAAAATTGACGGAATAACCTTCTATAGCTGTTACGCACCCCCAAGCTGGAGCCTGCACGAGTTCCAGAGTATGGTGGTGGAGATAGCCTCGGACGCTCAGAATCGGTCGCCAACGGTCATAGCAGGAGATTTTAATGCGTGGGCCGTTGAATGGGGCAGCCGCGAGACAAATGCGAGAGGATACTGCCTCCTAGAGGCATTCGCCCCTCTCAACGTAGGTATAGCTAACGATGGCAGGAAGCAGACATTTAGAAAGGCGGGTCGGGGATCGTTTATCGACATCACCCTCCTAAGCGTGTCCCTACTTCGCGGAGCTACATGGACAGTCAGTGAAGAATTCACTTTCAGCGACCACCAGGCGATACTCTTCGACCTCAACAACCGGAAAAACAAGGTCAAGCCGAAAACAACCGGTCCAAAATGGAAGGCGGAAGGTTTGGATGTGGAAGCATTCACGGAAACTTTCAACCAACCATACTGGATGCAGGGATCGGCGGCGGAGAGGACAACCGAGCTACAACGGAGGATTTAAGCGGCGTGTGACGCATCTATGCCACGAAGGAGAGCAAGCAATCGGGACGCCCCATGTTACTGGTGGAATGACCAGATAAGCGAGCTTAGGAAAGCGTGTCTTCATGCTAGAAGACGTTCCCAAAGAGCAAGGGGGCGCCCAGTTTTTCAAGCAAGGCTCGACGAGTTCCGGATGGCCAAGAAGGAACTGAAGATGGGGATCAAGCGCAGTAAAGCCAGCAGCTTCAGCCAAATATGCGAGGAGGCAGATGTCAATCCCTGGGGCACCGCCTATAGAGTGGTCACCAAGAGACTGCGTAGCCAGTTCACGCCAAGGATAACGTGTCCCACGACATTAATCAGGATCATCGAGGCACTCTTCCCGCGGTACCCTACGGATCGGAGGACATACTCGGCAACAACGGGAAACGTACCGCCTGTTACCCTTGTTGAAGTCCAAACAGCGTGCAGAGGAATGGGAGACACAAAGACGCCAGGGCCCGATGGTGTGCCCAATAGAGCCCTCAAACTGGCGATCGACGTCGCTCCCACCCCTTTCATGGAGTTATTTACTCAATGCCTCGTGGAAGGAATCTTTCCAAAGCCTTGGAAGCAGCAGAAGCTCATTCTACTGCCGAAGGGAGACAAGCCGGCAGACGACCCCTCTGCATATCGACCAATCTGCCTTCTAGATGCAGTGGGCAAAATATTCGAGAAGGTCATATACAATCGCCTATTGGTGTCATCGGAGGAAAGGGGAGCACTCTCGGACGCGCAGTATGGCTTCCGTAAGTCCCGTTCGACTGTTGACGCAGTGACGCTGGTCACGAGCATAGCAGCGAAGGCAATTGAGGGAAAACGATGGAGATGGGGAGAAAAAGAGTACTGTGCCGTGGTAACTCTGGACGTGAGAAACGCGTTTAACACTGCGCGCTGGAGCACAATCCTGACATCCCTGGAAAAGGCCGATCTCCCGAGCTATCTTGTGCGGATAGTAGCAAGCTACCTATCAAATAGAGTACTCCTGTACGACACGGACGATGGAACGAGGCGGTACCCAGTCACAGCAGGTGTCCCACAGGGGTCAGTACTTGGCCCGCTATTATGGAACCTGATGTACGACGAAGTCCTCCGGATCAGGCTTCCTCCAGGGTGCACGCTTGTAGGCTTCGCTGATGACCTAGCGCTAGTCGTCGTGGCTAAGCACGTACGTGAAGCTGAGGTGGCAGCAAATAGCGCTATCCAGACAATAGGAGTGTGGCTCGAGAGCGCAGGACTGGATCTGGCAGGACATAAAACTGAAGCTGTCCTTATATCCAGCAGGAAGACCATGGAGTTTATGACACTACAGGTAGGAAACGAGTGCATTGTATCAGCTCCATGCCTCAAATACCTCGGAGTCATCCTTGATAACCGGTTGAGCTTTAGGAGCCACATAGAGCACGCTAGCAGGAAGGCGGCACGATTGCAGATGGCCCTAGCGCGTATGATGCCCAACATTGGCGGACCCAGGGCTGGAAGTCGGCTACTCCTTTCCAGGGTAGTTACCTCTGTCCTTATGTATGCGGCGCCAGTCTGGAGTGCTGCGTTGAGAAATGTGCAGCTCCGGCGCAAGATGGCTTCGGTCTATCGACTTAGCGCACTGCGAGTCATATCCGGATTCCGAACAGTCTCAGACGACGCTGCGCTGGTACTGGCAGGTATGATTCCGGTGGATATACTGGCCAAAGAGTTGGAGGCGGCATACATCCGAAGGAAAGCAGGAGAGAGCGGGACTACTGCAGGAGTCAGATCTGAAAGAACGCGATCGATTCAGACATGGCAGGAGAGATGGGACGCCTCGACGAAAGGTAGATGGACCCACAGGCTTATACCTAAGCTGGAGTTATGGATAGGACGGAAGAATGGACACACAAACTACTACGTTACGCAATTCCTAACAGGACATGGATGCTTTAGGGACTACCTTTACAGGTTCAAGCACGAACCATCACCTATATGCCCGGAGTGCGACGAGCAACGAGAAAGCTCGGAGCATGCAGTGTACCAATGCCGTAGATACCTGGAAATGTGCAGGACGATCCCACCTCCCGATGAAGTTATCGGTCATATGCTGGAAAGCGAGGAGGCCTGGAAGCGGACGTGTACACAGATAACAGAGGTAATGATTGACCTGAGAAAATGCGAGAGGCTAAGGAAGGAACAGGAGAGTGCCTAATGTAGGCAACCCGCCCCCGCGAAGCAATACCTAACGGTGATACCGCGGGGTGCAGTGCTGTAGCTGCGTGTGTGTGGTGAGTTTAGCTGGGAAGCCCCGGAGGGGTAGTCCAGTTCGTTGTTTGGCACGGGCCAGACGCGTCTTACCAAAAGATTCTCACCCACCATGGCGTATCCATGGAAATAAAAAAAAAAAAAAACACCCAAGACACTGCACAAGGCAGTCCCTCAGTCACACACCCAAGACACTGTACTACGCAGTCCCTCAGTCACACACCCAAGACACTGCACTAGGCAGTCCCTCAGCCCAAACACAAGACACTGCACAACCCAGTCCACCGGCTCCAAGGCCAAGTAACTAGATCCGCGAGTTAAGTCATTGTAAACAAACAAGAATTAAATAATAAAAGAATAACGCAAAGAACACCAACAAAAACAACCAACCACGATTTCTCCAATCCAACAAAACCGTCGCCTCATCATTTCTCGCTGCCTACTACATTCTTTTACGAGCCAGCCCGACACCTGAAGTCACCTACAAACTACAAATTGTCTTGTAGCGGACCCTGGACAGACTGATGCTTACCTCAGCCTGAAATAGGACCCTCACAAGTGGCGCCCGAGCAGGGACTTTTTGGTGACTTTAAGGAGACTAACATCTTAATACGGAGCTTTGTGGAGTAAAGACCCACGGCCACTGAAAGAGACTAGGCTAGCAAGGATCAATTCCCGTCCAGCACAAAACCGGCACCCTCGCAAAATCCGGTCGCAAGCAAAAGTGCTAAAGTACAGAAGTACCACAAACAAAACGTAACTCAGTGCTACTAACTGCAGAAATACACCATGGAAGCCCACGGAGCCGGTCAACCCGACGAATTTTATCCGGAGGGACACCATACCAATCCAGGAGTCACCACCGGCTGGATCTACAAACTCCGGCGGGACGAGCTGGAAACCCTGGCCGAGGAATTCGGATTTGGCAACGAAGGAACAGTCGAGGAACGACGAAAGAGATTCGCCGCATTAGTCGCCGGAACACTCTCGCAGGACGCCTGGGTTCGACTAGGAGACCTTGAACGGCAATACGCCAAACCAGCAGGACGCTCCAGGTCGCCCATGCCCACCACTCCTGGGCCGTCTGACCAGCGGAAAACCGACCCAAAAGCCGGGTTACAAGTCCCCACAGCGGCCGAATACAGCACACCCTGCCCACCACGCATTGTAACGCCAGCCGATTTGCCCAGACCTCCAGATACGGAGACCAGCCGCTCGCCGCTCGCTCGTGCCAGCCATGGACTCTTCCATAGATGGACGCCACCACAGCCACACCGCCCGACGGACAGGACGACCCACTTACATTTCTGGAACTACTCGAGGAACGTGCTCTCTCATATGGGGTGGACACAAATCAGCTACCTCGGGCCATGACAGAGCTTCTCACCGATCGGGCCAGTCGCTGGTACCGCACCAGCCAACTACAAGGCAGCTCAGGGCATATTTCCGCCAAGAATTCTTGACTTTCTTCTTGCCGCCACGGTATTTTGAACAATTGGAAGACCAGATCCGAGCCCGCAAGCAAGCGAGAGGAGAATTGTTCAAGGATTACCTCATCAAGATACGTCTACTCATGCACCACGCCAGGTACGATGCAGCCAAGGAACTAAACAGGATCTACGATAACGCCCTGCCAGCATACCAGATGTATGTGCGGCGACACGAACTACAAAGCTTAGCACAGCTCACAATGTTGGCCACCGAGTTCGAGAGCATCCAAGAGCGGACCATCCCGACCACTTTCGCACCCCCGCGGAACACTCCAAGATACGTAAGGCCGCCTTCAGAGCAGAGGAATTGCGACTCGCACCAGACGCCATTTCTGAGTCCCCATTGGGAATCGACAGACACACCAGGGAGACCACCAGCTCATCCAAACA